ATTATCTACAGAAAACAGCCTCAGCTTTAGACGGCAGCCCTTCACAGCCTGACCCTTCCTAGCTTTACAGTTCCAAGTTTTCAGGTCTCCTGCCTCCTCCTTCTCCCTTATGCAACCTCCTCTAATAACAACTGGGTCTTATTCATTACTGTATTCTTAGCATATAATACTAGGTCTGGCACAAAGCAGGCACTTCATAAATGTATGTCAAATGATAAGGGGCATAGATGGCTGGACAGATGAGTAAATGCAGTGGTTTCCTATTGCTGTTATAATAAATTACCACAAATCTGGTGGTTTAAAAAAACACACAATTATTACAGTATATTATGGAAGCCAGAAGTCCAAAATGGGTCATCAGGGCTCTGTTTCTCCCAGAGGCTTCAGGGGAAAATCCATTTCTTTGTCTCCTCCAGCTTCTAGAGGCCCCCTGCGTTCTTTGGCTTGTGTCCCTTTCTCCCATCTTCAGGGTGCATCACTCCAAATTCTGCTTCCATCATTCCATGTCCTTCTTTCTGACTCTGAAACTCCTGCATCCCTCTTATAAGGACCTTTGTAATTACATCATTGGGTCCATCTTGATAATACATGATAATCTCCCCATCTCAGGATCTTTGACTCAGTCACATATGCAAAGTCCCTTTTGCCATGTATGATAACATATTCACAAGTTTGGAGATTACGACACAGATGTTTTTTGGGGTGGTGGTTATTATTCAGCCTTCTTCAGTGAGTCAATAGATTTTTTTTTAATGTAAGGAGTATCACAGTTGTACAAGCTGCCAGGGAAATTATAAAAAGGTGAGTCTAAACTCTGCCTAGTGGCTACTGTCTTAGACAACGTCGTTCCAGAAAGATCATCTGGAGAAAGGATTGAAGGTGATTTGAAGGTATGGGAGACTAAAGGCAGGTATCTACCTAGATGAAAGCTAAGCACAACCTGAATTAAAACACAAGCAGCAGTGATAACGGCTGGTGCAGGGATGAGAGAGGAGAGAAATGTCAGGTGGAGGAGTAAGAGTGTCTCATTGATTGGACTTAGGGGTCGTCAAGTCTAGGATGAATCTCGGCCTCTCAGATGGCTGGATTGTGCTATTCGTCAGCAAAAGGAGCGGAGTTTAAAAGGTAGGATGATTATTTAAATTTGTTACCAGACCTAATTCTGAGATTCCTATTAAATGGAGACATTCTAAAATAAATATGTCTGGAGCCCTTGAGAGGGAGGTCTGGGCAACGGTACAGGTTTGGGAACTGTCAGCACATCCCTGGGTTTTGCTCAGGAGGAGGAAACAGCACAGAAAAGCAGAGGGCAGACAACGACTGCAGGGAGCACAGCGTTAAAAGGACCAGAAAAGGCTGGGAAGGAAGAAGCGACGAGCTCTGAGGAAAGCTAGGAGAGAGTGGGGTCGTGGGCCTGGAGAGGAGAGGAGAGGCGCAAGAAGGTAACGACCCGTTTTCCTGAGGAGGTCAGATGTCATAATGACCGCGAAGCTGCCATGGGACTTGGGATGGACGGCTTAGCAAGAGCGATTTCAGCACAGGAGGTGGCGGCAGCAGGGCAATGGAAGCCAGAGGATCCATGGGTAACTGTGAGGAAGAAAGTAGGGCCACCACTGTACACCCTGAGCATTAACTCCTCTCAGTGAGCTTGACCGAGAGAAAAAGAGAAGTAGGCCACAGCAAAAGGGGAGTAGGGACCCAAAAGACAGGTGGGATTTGCACCCATTTACAGGCGGAAGGAAAGAAGACTAAAGCTTGGGGGATGCTGAACATGCAGGAGAGAGAGGACAGGGGGTGGGTAAGGGTAAGGGTACCAGCTGTCCAAACCAGCCTGTAGTACTTGAGTTTCCCATAGGATAAAAGCAAACAATGCACATGTATAGATTCCATTTCTTAAATCCCACTTAAAAACAATTGTATGTGCATGAGTGGGGCAGTCTACTGTAAAATGTAAGTTATAACATAGATTTTTATCAATATGCTTTCCCTGTCAGGCCATGTTTGGCCCACAAATTTAATTAAAGTGCATCTGGTGTTCCTGTCGAACCTCTGACACGTCAGGGAATGACTGATGGGGCAAGGCCTCCGCAGCTCCGAGACTGAGCTCCTTGGGTTTGCTGAGCCAAAGCCAGAACCATCTTCTTTCCAGAGGCAGCAGAGGGACGGTTCTGGAAGCAAAGTTACAAGAGCATAGCGTCATGCCAACTGTGCCCCGCAGGTCCCCCACTGCTTCTCTGGCCCCCAGGCCCCCAGACACACAAATCCTACTTTATATAAGGATGGGTGTGTTAGTCTGTTCTGGCTACAAAATGCCATAGACTGGGTGCGCTTCTAAACAACAGAAATTTCTTTCTCATGGTTCTGGAGTCTGGAAGTCCATGATGAAGACACGGGCAGATCTGGCGTCCAGTGAGGGCTGGCCCCGGTTCACGGCGGGCCATCTTCTCACCGGGCACTCACATGGCCAAAGGAATGAGGGCCCGATCCCCCTGGGCGCTGATCCCATTCTAGGGCACTCTGCCCTCATGACTCATCAACTCCCAAAGGCCCGACATCCAGAGACCGTCACCCTGGGCAGCAGGTCTCAGGGCATGCGTTTGGGGAGGACACGACATTCAGTCTGTAGCTGGGGCCACAGTTACAGTCCTGGCCTGGGCTCTCCGCCCACCCTAACCCTGAGGGCCGCCAGGGTGGTGGGGGGCACTCCAAGGAGGAAGAGAAGGATCAAGGAGGAACAGCAGACGGAAGCACAGAGATCCCCGCAGCAGGGACTGTGAAAGCGACACTCCTGACAGCGGAGGGACAGGACGTTTTGTTGCCCATTGTCGATTTTGACCTTGGGAATGTGAAGGACACACACAGAGCCAGATCATGCAATACGGGGAGAGTGTCCGCAGGCCAGTGCTTTGCAGGCTCCCTGAGGAAGAGGAGGAGGAGGAAGAGAAGGGAAGGGAAGGACCAGGAGGGGAAGGGAGGAGGGAAAGAGAAGGTGGGGGGGGAGCCTCGGTAAGGCCCGTGCAACTCTCTGAATTCTTCCCATGGCCCCACATCATCACCTACATTCCAGTTCAATGCTGGGGATAAAAAATCTGTTCAACGTGAATGTGACTCCAGTGGAAGATTTCCTTCCCTTTATTGGCACTTCAAATGGTGGCTGCCTGGCCCTGTTTATTCATTAATGCATATAAGACAATACCGAAGGGGAAGACAGCCGGCTAGCAAATGGCAAAGCCAACATTTATCCCTGTGTCTCCAAGGAGGGGAGAACTTTTAAGATAGCCCAGATGTCTTTCTATCAGAAGCTGAACAATACAAAAGAAAAAAAGAAACTTCCAACTAGAAGAGAAATTACAGATTACCTATCATTTTCAGATAAGGAAAATGTGGCTCAGAGATGCTAAGAAACAAACTACGGCCCAGGTCTGCTGACTCCTTATTGAGTTCCCTTTCCATTGCTTCAGAGGTTTTCAAGTTCTGTTTTCTGGAGAAAAGGGCTGGGTGGGAGGAAGCCCAGTGGAAGGGGCAGATGCAGTTTCTCTACTCCATCAATCTCACTGACCACAGTAATTCCTTTTTATCAGACACATCACACACACACACACACACACACACACACACACACACACACACACACAGCTACTGCACAATATTTCATTTGAAGAAAATTTCTGTTGCTAAAATAAGTTAAAAAAAACCCACTGCTTTATACTATACATCTATTTATGTTTTACGTATAACAAGAAACCAGGCCCTGTCCTAAAGACTTACTGTCAACTACAGAAAGCTATTTTCAACATGAGGTGAGGTGGACAGGGGACCTAATTGGATAGTGAAAGTGGGTGGAAAAAGAATTCAGGAAGATTCCACATGGCTGGTAGACCTTTCATCTGAAAGGGTCTGACAGTGGTTCTCAAACTTTTTGTGCAATGGAATTACCTGGAAAGCTTTTTAAAATTAAGATTACAGAATCTTAGGTCCTGCATCACAGTTTCTGATTCAGAAGGTGTGATGTGGAGCCTAAGAATTTTCATTTCTAAGAAGCTCCTCGATGCTACTGATGCTTTTGGTCCAGGGACCACACTTGCAGAATCTCTGGTGCAGAGGACAGATGGCTGAGCTGGAGAAGCTCCTGCCTGAGGGCCTCATGATGCCTCACTCTGAACTTCTGGCATAAAGCAAGGAGGACTTCTCTCTGAAGCAACATTATTCAATAAGTGGAAGTTATATCTGGGACGTTTTAAGACATGGAAAAATGTTGAGTAAAACATGATTAGGATTTCAATGAGAAAACATAATAGGAAAAAACAAATATGGTGATTTTTTTCTCTGCTTTATAAAGCAGACATTATTTAAGCTCTAGACATGAGGTAGATATGATAGTTGGTGGTCGGTGTGGGAATAAGTGCATATATCTATGGGTATCAGAGCCACTCATCCATTTAAAAACCATTCATAAACATTAGGGTTTGGGGTGGAAATAAGTCTCTATTTATGTGTGCATGAGTGTCACATGCACTCATTCCTTCCACAAATATTTATAAATGCCTACCAGATGCCAGGCACTGTGCCAGGCACTAGGGAAAAGACACGTGTTCATTGCCTTCAGTCCAGGGAAAGAAACAGGAAGTAAGATAAGAGCTAATAGAAGTATATGGAAAATTCTACAGATGAGGAACCGTTTGGTTTGACAGACACTGAGCTCCATTTTGGACACTTTGAGTTTGGACTTGTGGAATATCCAGGGAGCGATATCAAATGTGTTTCTATAACTCATGAGGGAAAACCTGGGTTGGAGATGTAGATTGGGAGCCTTTATCTAATGACGAGTATGAACAATTTCTCCATGAAAACTAGTGAAGTATGAGGAAAGGGATATCAGGTAGGGGAGGAGCGGCCGGTAAAGAAGAACTCAGAGGTTGTCTTTAAGCTGATAAAAGTGTGAACAAGATACTGTACAAAGTTAAGGACATAGTCATATTTCTGTTTTAAACAATGATGATTTATTTGCTTAAAATAAGATTTCTTTAGTAATTTTGTCAATATGCCCTGTAAGAAAGAGATGCTATGCTGAATTACTCCTGACACTTCTTACACTTTCCTGATAAGAATCCAACCTTACTCAGTATTTTCATATAAATCCTGGTGTCTTATTGAAGTAAACAAAGATCACCCGTGCAAACATAAGTCTAAAATCTGAATTAATAATTTTTCTAATAGTTCTCTCCTTAAGATCATTAGCTCCCAGTCATTTAGTCATATACATATCTAGTATTGTCCATGTACGAAAACAAGTCAATTTCTATCATTAATCTAGAGGGCTAGCTTGGGCGCGCACACACACACACACACACACACACACACAATCTTTCACCTCTTCCTCGTTACCTCACCTCTTTTTCTTGGCTGTTTTTAAGGCACAGTTGTGACACTAAGTGTCCCATCTTTAGGTATAGCTGTAATGAGCTTTTAAAATTGTAAGTACAAATTGGTGGGTTGACATTCAATCCAATGCACATGTCATAAGCACTTTTATTCAAGTTGGTACAATAGTGGGTTCGGTTCCTGTCCCTGCACTCAATGAATGTACTGAGCAAAGTAAACATTTCCTGACCAAGAAAAGTTGGCTTTCTTGTTATTTACATATGAAATCTTATACATAAAACCTTCCTTTAAAATGTGCAGGTGATGTTGTTTTACTCATTTTGTTATGTATATAAACATTTATATATATTTAAAATATGATTCCAGGACACTGTTCTAGTCATTGTAGAAGCTAATCATATATATAATCATATATTTAAGATTTTCAGGGTTTGGGATGAAAGGTTTGACTACAAAGAAACGGCCCAAAGGAGTGTTGATGGAACTGCTCTGTATCTTCATCTTGGTAGTGTTTACACAACTATGAGTTTGTCAAAACTATAGAACTCTACACCCCAAAGAGTAAATTTCACTGTTTGTAAATTTAAAAATAAAAAATTCAAAATGCTGATCTAGAATAGTTACTTTGAAGGATATTGTTTAAAACAAATTCAACTGGTTGCTTATAGTCAAGCCATTTAGGCACACACACACACACACACACACACACACACACACACACATACTTCTCTTTATAGAAATTCCACACAAAGTTATTTATTTGCTTGTAATCTTACTCCAGGGGACTTCGGTTGACTTTCCCAAGACACAATGGAAGGCGGCCAGCCGTTCAACCCACTTTGTCGGTGGTGCCTCAAATTTCTGCTTGTTCGTTACAAGAATTCTCCAGAGACAGATGTATTACAGCACTTTGAGAACAATATTCACACCCACTGCTGAAAAGTGAAAAGAGATAGCTCAAGGTTCAACTCTGTGAAACAATTTAGTGGCTAAATGTGTCACTTTGGAACTAAATCCAAGCAGGTACTTGGAAAGAAGCAATTGAAAAGGGTGACAAATTAATGCCCTCCCCGAGCATATGGGCATTAATACTTACGTACCATGCCTGCTTCTGCGTACACTCTAGACTCCATGCACACGGTTCTTCATANAAGCAGGTACTTGGAAAGAAGCAATTGAAAAGGGTGACAAATTAATGCCCTCCCCGAGCATATGGGCATTAATACTTACGTACCATGCCTGCTTCTGCGTACACTCTAGACTCCATGCACACGGTTCTTCATACACTCTATCACCCCATGGCCATTACTTATGGCTGATGAATGCTAGTGTTCACAGAACAGCGTGTTGATGCATTTTTTCCTGCCATTGTAGGTAACATGTTTTCTAATTCTTTTGCTCTATTCAGCATTTGACCCCAACGATAGGGGATTATGGTATTAACTCTCTACCCAGCACACATTCTTTACAGACTCCCACTAAATACTGTAAGCCTGCTGTGGAGAGGAATAAAAGTGAAAGCATACCGTCTGGTCTTAAGCTGAGCACACAGAGGGTCGTGATCCAATTGGAAGGGAAGCAGAATTTTTAAAAAGAAAGAGGTTTGACCAAATTTTAATCCTTGTCATTTTCATTTCTCTTACCCTGTGGATTTGGGTGATTTTATTTACACTGTCAGCTTGAGCCTGGGGATTGGAAATCAGGCTTTTATGGAGATTATTAAAAGTACATAGAGTACACTAAAGGTTGGGCTAACTGATAGATGCTGCTAAAAATATGAATGTGAATGCCCTGGTATTAGGTGCCACTGGCGTACATTTCATCCTCCTTAGAAGGTTATTCTTGGGAGCCGGACCGGCTGCAATGGTCATGAGATGCAGGCTGTCAGGATATTTCTAATAGGTAGCAAATGACCAGAGATGGAGATGAATTAGCATTACTCAGATGAGAAGGTAGCTCTTTATACCATTAATTCCAATGCAAAGTGATTCCACCATCCTTCTCCTAAAAGAGAGGGCACTGCAAATTGTGGGGAGGAGGGGTGCAGGGTTAAAGCTTCAAGGATTTATCGATGGGCTGGATAGGCCTCAATGTCACACAAGTCTGTAGGCTGGGTTTTGTTTGACCTGAGTTTCTCAAATGCATCACTAGTAAAGTCAGGTAATGTCATATAGGCCTAGATTATAAGAATAAAGCTCTAGACCTCAGACACCGTCTTTAAGATATCAATAGATAAAAATGAAATGGTTTACCCAGTCTCAAAACACTCAAATCCACGCTTTGATGAGGCAGGTTTAGGGTCTCAAAGACTTGGAAGTACTACTTTACAAAGTAGTCGACTCTGTGGGACGTGTGTCCTTGCAGGGTTATAGATTCGGATAATGTAAATGGGTTTAAGAGGGTTTTAGAGGGATGCATGCATCACAGCTCTATGACAGAGCACCAAGCAAAAATGGGGCATTTTAGGGACTTGTTTCCAATTTGGAGGCTGATAGCGTCCCCATGCCTGTGGCCTGGCCTCCTCGGGTACCCCTAATAGATCAAGTCACTGCTATGCTGAAGCTTTAAAGTATGTTGCACACCCAGAAATGGGGAGGAAGGCAGATAGCAGGAAATGACTGACCAAGTGTGTATTTCACTTGGAGCTCTCAAATGCCAACACCTGGACGGTGGCGTCCAGTTTAAGTACTGAGGTTTGTATCTCTGTCATGTCTTAGATGCCTGTATAAAAACATGCTATCCTGCCATAGAAAAGAGACCACAGTGAAACGTGAACCTTCAGTGCCTTCAATGTTTGAAAACTTAGTTCTGAATCACTGGTCCCAAATCACTTATATTCTGCATCCTGACCTGTTCCTTGTCCTCTTGGCTTCGGATCTGGTGATTCACTTTCCCTTTTACAACCTTACCTCCTAGCCCCCCAAAGCAGGCCACCCTCTGACTAAAATGTTTATTTCCCTCTTAGCTCTCGATCCCCTCTCTGGCACACTGCCTTCATGCACACTGAGTGGATGCTCCCTTCCTGCCTCCTGGCCCCCAGTCCACCCTGTCACGTGGACTTGTCCTTCTCGGAGTGCCTCCATCGCCTGAAAGTGGCATCCCCCCCCCACCTCCAGGTGCACCGCAGCCCACAGGCAGGATCTGCTTGGGGACACCAGCCAACAGGGAGAAGTAAAATGAGTCCCTTTAGTGTGATGGCGTAGACAGACCACTGTGAGTCTGGTCCATACCACCCCGATCCTCCTTCGTTAACTGCCTTTTCTAAATATAAATATATATGTTATGCTATTTTAATTTTTTTTCAAATCAGGTTTCATATGTTTTACATGCTAGATTTGTATAACAATTCTGTAAGCCAGAAAGAACAAACATGAGCTCTCTCTTTCGTGCAACAGTACTACTGAGATAAAGACAAGTCGGGTGACTTGGCCCATATTACATGGGAAGCAAATTGTAGAGTTTAACTCAGCTGGTCAGTGTTTCATCTGCTTCCTATGTTCCCTTGGACTGAGATCCTCTGGAAAGCAGGGATCAAATCCAGGTGGTCACTCTGCATAGAAATTAATAAATTTGATGACAGGATGATAAAGTTGATGATGACGATGAAGGTGATAAATATGTTTTTCATCTGCAACTATAGAAATCAATTTCATTTTCCTGATTTTCTTATCTGTGTGCCTTTCTGCTAATTGTTTCCCCTACTTAAAATGTCTTCCACCTGCCCTATTTGCCTAGAAAATCCCTCTTCATCCTTTAGAATCCGATACATATGTAACCTCCTCTGTGAGATCTATACTTATCACTGCCCTTTCCTCACCTCCAGAAAGAATTAACTAGGTTCCCATGTTAATGGTGTCACACTTAGACTGTAATTCTTCATGTCATTCTTTGTTTATGTTTCTGCCACCAGATTATGGGCAAGAGCCAGGGACAATGTCCTATTCCCTTTTGCATCCCAATCCCTGCTGCTGCGCTTGACAAGTCACAGATACTCAAACGTGTATTTTGAACTGAATATAATGAATCTCTCCTTATTTCCCTCCTTTCAAGAGGGAAATAAGGAGAGATTCTTACCAAATGATTTTTCCAGCTTTTAGAACTAGTCCTCAGTTTAGAATAGTATATTAGTCAAGGCAATCAATGCAGACTGTTATAAAATACACTTTCCAAATATAAGTACTGTAACCCGATATAAGGCTGTTACGAACATCTGATGTAGATTGGGCCCCTTCCACTGTGTGGCTCTTTGCTTCCAGTTACTCAGATGGGAGAAAATGTAAAGAAGACATACCAGGTTTTAAAGCAGCTGGCCTCACTTCCGCTCATGACGATTGGCCAGAGCTCAGATCACCTGGCCCATCTAACTGCAAAGCCATGTGGGATATGTAACTCCCCTGCATGTTGAAAATGGTAAACACTGAAACTTTCTTGCCATAGTCTGCCCTCCTGACCACCAGAAGTCTTTCGCTCACTCATGGGGCACATTCACCTCACTTCAAAGAGGACAGTGTAAGGTCCCATCCAGTCACCCCCTCTGGACGGTGCCCAGCACACCTGGGTGTTGCACCTCCATCAATCTATGTAGTGCCTCCAGGTATGGCAGCCTACATAATAAAAAGACCCTGCTTTCTAACCATCACACCCATTTATAATGGTGGCAGAAGGACAGGAAGATAATCCCATTTGACAAGGGAAATAATAGATAATATGCAGCACCATGGCCCAAGGCCACACCGAAAGCCCTCTGGGTCAGCACTGTGAAGCCCATACCCTCTGGGCATGATGACGTGTGTGGACTAGGGTCTAGGAAGGGTTCCCTTATTTGTTCTTCTCCTTGGCCACATGAGAATTGGGCTTAGAGGAGGACCCTTCATTCAGAACAGCGTGTACAGGATGGACTGGGAATTCAAGAATTGTATTAAGCTTTGAACAAGCAAGGGCTTTTCAAGCCTGGGCCCCTGGTTTCTCTGGCAGTGCAATTCTCAAAAACTTAGAAGGCATAGGTTTGCTTGCCGTCAGGTCCATGTGCCAGGAACCACACACAGAGTGATTTTTCTAGACATTGTTATCAAATCTATCTTTTTTCTTTGCCTCTCCACTCCCATGCCTTTATCTCTTTTAACATAATTACCTAAATACACTGAGGCTATCAGAAACAATAGGTGAGGAATAGGTCATTTGATTTCTGGCTCAAATGACTTCATTCAGTTGAGAACATGTACTGGATATTTGTTACTTAAAGCCTTTTTTTGGTATCATGTCTTGTCTAAGTCTGAAATAAATTAACTTTTTTCTTATCCTGCAGCCCAAATTTCTGGACTCTGTATTGTATTCTGTTTCTCCTTGCAAACTCACAAACTCTTCCTTGAGTCATATTCTCTCGTGATACAGACCTAAATTAGCCAAAGACACTGCTAAAATTGTTTTCTGATTATTTCCCCTGACGGTATAAACTGGCCATGATTGCATGACTGCCTTCCAGTTAACAGCAGGCAATAGTTACACTAAATGATCTGTCACTGCATTACCTGAATTTCTGTCTTTCCATTTTTTTGGTATTGGCTTCTTTTCTGCCTGCTGTTGAACTGCTCAACCAATGATACTTATTTAGGGTAGTTGTAACAGTCTGGGAATAAGATTTGTTACTACTTGTGGTACCAATTTCTGTACCAGCACCTACCGGATATTGTAACAACGATCTCAGTGATTCATACGTAGGGTTATTCCTCCCTCATGTCCAGGGCAAGCCCGGCCAATGTCCTCAGAGGCTCTCTTCCAAGGAACACAAACTCCTTCCATTTTGTGATGCTGGAAACTTAAACTGGTGGCTGCTGGACACTGTGGAAGGAGAAGCAAAAGCTGGAATATTGCTGAAGATGTTTTTACAGGGCAAGACTGAAAGCGGCTTATATCCCTCTGTCCTAAATTTTTTGGCCAGAACCCTGTCACAGGACCCCAACCTAACAAGGAGAAAATGAAATGTTCCTGTGTGCTCAGGAACAGGAAATGGGATCGATGAGCTTATAGTTCTAGCCCGTGTGATAATGTGGCATTTTATTTGGTCCCTTACCAATGACTTAGTTTATCTTTCTTTTCTCAGTCACCAGATAGATGCTTGGACAACCGTGATGTCTTATTTTTTTATCAACAATGCAAAATACTTTAAAATAGCTTGTGAGGAATTTAAGACACATTTAATCCTTTTTCTCACTTAACAAATTAAAGGTAAAATTAAAGAGGTAAAATTAAAACACTGAGAGGTTCCAAAGGACCTGTGTGAATCTACCAACAAGCTACCAGACCTTCTCTGGACAAATTTGTAAAACACAAGCAGAGTAGTCTGTAAGCTGGTCATAAATGACAGTTAATCACGACCATGTAGGTCCTCACAATGGAGATGGCTTAGTCCACAGAGTCAATTATCCATGTGCTCTAGTCAGACTCACCAGTCAAACCAACCCCTCTCCTTTAAAGGTAATAAAGGGGACAGGGGACCAAATCCACTAAGTCATAATCAGTGTAGTAATGCCACTGCAAGGAGCACAGGTTTTGAGTGAAACAGACTTAGGGTCTCCCATCAACTATGTGTCCTGAGAGAGTAATTTGAACCTTTCTGAAACTCAGCTGCTTTATGTCTCATCTATGAAATGGAGGATAATGTATCTGCCCTGTAATATTGTGAGCATCTGAGGTATATAGATAGATGAGAGATAGGTAGATAAAGATAGGTAGGTAGGTAGACAGATATAGACAGAGGTAGATATATGTCTCTCTATATAAGCATGGTTGATATTCAGACAGCTGGACTTGGTAGGAGTATTCTCAATGGTCAGTGTTCATGCTATAACCAGGTACTGACTATTTCAGTACCATTCCTGAGTGTACTCAGTAAGTATACAACCACCTATTTTTTTTTTTGAGAGGGCATCTCTCATATTTATTGATCAAATGGTTGTTAACAACAATAAAATTCAGTATAGGGGGGGTCAATGCTCAATGTACAATCATTAATCCATCTCAAGCCTAATTCTCTTCAGTCTCCAATCTTTTGAAGCATAACGAACAAGTTCTTACATGGTAAACGAATTCTTACATAGTGAATAAATTCTTACATGGTGAACAGTACAAGGGCATTCATCACAGAAACTTTCGGTTTTGATCACGCATTATGAACTATAAACAATCAGGTCAAATATGAATATTCGTTTGATTTTTGTACTTGATTTATATGTTGATCCCACATTTCTCCTATTATTATTATTATTTTTATTTTTAATAAAATGCTGAAGTGGTAGGTAGATGCAAGATAAAGGTAGAAAACATAGTTTAGTGCTGTAAGAAGGCAAATGTAGATGATCAGATGATCAGGTGTGTGCCTATGGACTAAGTATTAATCCAGGCTAGACAAGGGCAGCAAGACATCCACGGATGCAGAAGATTTCTCTCAAAGCAGGGGGGGTGAGGTTCTGAGCCTCACCTCTGTTGATCCCCAAATTCTCACCTGATGGCCCCCCTGCGACTGTGCCTGTCTTAGGTTGTTCCTCCCTTGAGGAATCTTACCCGTCTCTGGCTAACCAGTCATCTTCCGGGGCCATACAGGGAAATGTAAAGTTGGTAAGTGAGAGAGAAGCCATATTGTTTGAAAAGGTTAGCTTTTTACTTCTTTGCAGATTTATGCCCTGTGGCTTCTATGCCCAGCACTTGTCTCGAGGTATCTTTACCACCTGGAGGAATTATGATACTCGGTAAATTCGATATGAGGCACGAATTCTATTTAAGGCACAACCACCTATTTTTTAAAAAGAAATTAAGGTTCTAACAGGTCTATAATATTTCTGGGTACTATGGAAGATAAAAAGAATTTTTTGATAGACCCTCCCTTCAATCTAGTTTTGGGGCCAACTATGCGAGTCTAACTAGAAATATGACAGGAATTAAGAGAGTGAATTCATGTCAGCTTTGGCTTGATGAGTCAAAGAAGGTTCCTGGAAGAAAGTGTGCCCACGGGTTTGGAGGATTGCAGGCCATAGATGGCCAGTGGGAGGGAGATGTTTCAGCAGGAAGCTTGGTAAGATGGGGAATACTGAGGAAACCAGTCGGACTGATGAGGAGGGCAGTTAAAGAGAAGTGAACTTTATCAACAATGCTGCAAATCCATTTTTCATAAAATGATATTTAATTTTAAAAATAAAAAAGGGCACTCTCCCAGTTCACTGTGTTTTCAGAGGGCACAAATATGGAAACAGTTATAACAGGTTCCACTAATCACAAAACTTTTATATAAAGAGGAAGATAAAGAAATGTGTATTTCTTGTATGATTTTGATGAAGTATGATGTGTGTGCTGTTCTTCCAATGCAACCATTCCTGCCTTTCTATTTTCCTTCTCCTCAAATGTTCTTTTTTTGCTCCTTCATACTTGGTACTACAACAGAGACATACCCTGTGCCCAGAACAGTGGCTTGGCACATAGGAGTCACCCAACAAATATCTGTTGGATAGATTCAATAAGGTTGTGAAAAAATTGTGCTCAGCAGAATTGTAGCTTCTCATAGTCTTTAAATCAAGCAAGGAGAGTAGAAGGCTACCCCCTAAAAGAAGAGACAAAGAGTGCTGACCACCCTTACAATGAGTTTGTGTGAATCCATAAGGAAGGAAATGAGTAGATGCTTCTAATGATAACATCTGATGACCAGCAAAGGTAGACAGCCCAGGAAAATCCCACGTTAGGAAGTTTCAGTGGAGGTATTGTCTATGCAGTGCTTGTCCAGGCCCGGCACCCAGTGGTGCAATGACTAGAGCTCTGATGGGCCCTTCACCTGCCCCTGAACAAGAAGCCAGTAGCTGAACAACCGAATATAACTAGGGTGGGATACTCTCCAAACTGTACCTAACAGGTATCATTTTTAAAGTGATTGATATAAACTCCCTTTTCCTTTAAATCATGATTCCTTATGGTTTCCATCCATCAAATCAATGTTGCTCAGTCTTTAAGTGATGGGTAAATACCAGCTAGAAGAAGGAAGTCATGGCTCAACATTTACCATCAAAGGAGTGTTTTCTTTTTCTTTTTTTTTTTTAGTGATTAATAAAGTGATCATCTTAGAAGCTAAGCTTTAAGGGAAAAGGGCTTCTGAATTTCCGAAGCTACCTCTATGTAAGCAATGCAATACTTTGAATGACAATGGGGAGTTTTACAGGCACAGAGAATTAAGAATATGACGTAAGGGGCATTCTCACCTGCCTGGGGAGAAAGTTGAAAGTTGTCCTGGAGCTGAGAGGAGGAAGAAATGGGAAAGACAAGGTAAAAGGAAACTAGTCAGCAGTGTGTGTCCCTGACCTTCCACACCACCCACACTGGGGATTCCCCAGAGCAATGGGGCTTGTGCCTTGCTTTGCTGTGAACATGCCAAGAGAACTGTGATCCCACTCTCCCCTTCTCCTGGATGCTGCATCTGTATTGAAACCTCAGCAACATGGTACTGTTGGGGGAGCGCTGTTTATTTTCCTTGTTCCTTGTCCCGCATCAAAGAACTGAAGGGCAGAGACACAGTACTGAAGCAGAGTAAAAGTTTTATTTAAAGTTCCTTAAAGAGAGAAAAAGTACAGGCCACCTCAGCCAGGAGAGGTGCCCTGAAAGGTTGGAGAAAGAAAGTTTAAGATGAAAAGGTTACACACTTAGAAAGTGTGGGTGACCTCAGAGAGAGGAGCTCCCTTTTAAGGATTCTTTAGGAATATGACTAAGGGCTGGGGGTGCAGACTTGTTAAGTGGTCTCTGAATACCAGAAATTAACCTCACACAAGGAACTTCCGGCTCTAATTTCTCCCTGGGATACCGGCGTCTTGGTCTGGGAGCATATCAAACAAGACTGCCTGCTCAGCCCCCAAGGTGGGTTGAGTTATTGTCTGTTTGCTAAAGAGTAAGTTAAGAATCTTACTTCTTAACTTCCTGCCTTTTACTATGTTGTTTACGGCTGGGCCTGCATGCTTAACACAATAAAGACATAGGCTGTGCTGAGGTACCCTCCTTTATCTGGGGAATATTCAAACATTCCAGGCCAAGTTGCTCCTGGCTTTTTGAGCTTTAACTGATTAACTCTGGGTCTATTTTAGTGGGCTTTTTTCTGGCCTTATTGTCTTTCCACCCCACTCATATCTATTTTCCTACCTAACTGTACCATTGCCAGATGGGTTAACCAGGCTGAGGGAGTTTTTAGGTGACCTAAAGTAGAGCTTCTGGCTTCCCAAGGCCTGTACTTGGAACCCATGGAATCCAGAAGACCCTGTGTGCTCCCATGAGAGGATAGAGCAGGAGAGAGAGGCCAGAGGACATGCAGGGGTCTGGGGTTGGAACGAGATGGCCACAGAGGGCAAGGACTCCACCAACAGGGGCAAATGGCAGGATTAAACACAAACCCCAAAGACCAGATGAAAGAGCCACTCTGTGGCCACCAGCCCAGGTGCCCCGGGCACCCAGGGAGCAGACCAGAGCTGTCCTGGGGCAAACCCCAGCAAGGACTCGGAGGCAACAAGCCCACCGAGGCCACCTCTCCCAAGGATCGTGAAGGTGTACACGCCCCCTCCCACACCCAGATGCTGTCTAGCTGCCAGTGGGGAGGAGAGAAGAGGAGCCCTAGAAGACCAGGTGCTTACCCCAAAGAGGCTGCTGTCAACCAGAGGAGGGGTTGCTTTCAGTTGCCAAGTTTAAGTCCCATCTGTTTCCACTCCACTTTCCCATAAGAGAGGGATAAGGGATCAGAGCAAGATGAGAAGTTACATAGAAAACTAAAATGTTCTATGCTTTTTTAACTCAGTTGAGTATAGCACATGTGATTTTTAACCCCAGGCTGTGTTAATGATGCAGAGTCACTGGTCAAAATGCCAAGAAGCCCTACCCCTGCTTTAAATGGTAGAATGCAAGTTGGACAAAAATACATGTAATGCTATCTAAATTGGGTAGCTTTGTAAAGCTTTGTACTGATCATTAGATTACAAAATATTTTGTTCACATCATATGTGCAATTGGAGGGGAAAAATTTAGTCACTACATTTCCAGCTAAGAAATGTTATTGCCTTACCATCAGTGGTGAGAATATAGAAAACTCAAAGTCGCACACACAGTTGTACCTCTGAATCTATATTTGGCGTTTAGAAAGATAACAGACCAGAAATTCATGGGAAAGAAACTGCTTCCTATGTGTTGTCAGGCATTTTGCATAAACTATCTTACATATTCCTTAAACCACCAGATTAGACATTAGTCCCGTTTTACAGATGAGAAAACTGAAACTCTGAATAGGAAATCGAAATTTCCTTGTCCAAGGTCACCGAAGCTGGAAGGTGCGGAAGCTAGAATTAGAACACAGCTTCGTGACCTTGGTAGGACACTTTCTGCTTCCCTGCCTGGCCCAGAGTCTCACACCCCTGCCCAGTGTCACACAGAGACTTGCCTGCTGGCCACACACGGGATGAGCACACAGGGAGGAAGCCTCCCATCCCCTGGAACTGGACCCACACATTTAGTCAAAACTGCCAACTTCAACTTTATCTGACCTTAGTGAGGACCAGCAGCCCACACTATCTCCCCTCGTAAGAGAGGACTTGTTCTTTCTCACCCAGGTTTCTAGTTTTGATACGAGATTGGAAGACTTATTTTTCTCTTTGATTGCTTTCTTAATTGCATTCTCTCCAATTAACACATTCATCTTGGGAGAAAAGCCCAAGTGGCTTTTCTGGTTCACCAGCTTCTCCAGCTCCTAGTCTGAAAAGCCATTGTTTTGACAAATCAGGGGCAAGGAGCCTATAAGCTGGGCTACTCAGCCTGGCCCAGGGGCCTTCAGGTACGTACCTGTTCCCAGAGATACTGGACATTCCACAGGAAGCATGCCTGAGTCAGAAGGTAAGGGCCGTGGCCACTTGGAACCCAGCATCCTGTAGCAGCCCCTGGGGAGAGCAGGCAGGTCTTCAGAAGACACTTAAAAAAAAAAAGTGCTTTGTAAAAATCAGGTATCCTGTCCTGTGAAGCATGAAGTATGTGGTAGGACAGTTACAGTGGGCTTTCTGAAGACGTGGAAAAGACTAAAAATGGCCCGTTCCTCAGGACATAAGGCAAAATAGGCACTGAGCCAGTGGAAACCAAGAAGTAAGCCAGGAAGAAATGGAAGCTTTTCTGCTTTTCCTTAATCATTCCTTTCTACATGAAAAGCCAATTTTACTAGCATTTTGTCAGCTAGAATCCTTTATAAACAAATACATCCAAATTCCCAGAGCAGTGAAAATGGAGATTCACAAAGATGTTTTGAAGACTGTAACCTTAAATGCCTTTGTGAATCATTAATGCAAATTAAATAGTGTCTGCCTTCTTTTAACCACTGAGTGATGACACTTATTTTATGAAAACAGGTAATTCATATTTACAATGTTTAGAACATTCAGTTAGCCAGAACATTTGACTTCTGAGAGAATTTTGCTACTGAATGGGCTCAGAATTGTCTGGTTAGCACCCTAAAAACCCATGTACTTCCAGAATTAGAAGGAATGAGGTTGCCTCCTAAATCTGATAATTTATTAACTGTGTGACCTTCAGATCCTTTAAACTCTCTGGGCCTTATTTTTCTCATTTATCCATTAGGATAATGATGTCTGCCATCCCCAGTTGTTTAAGCTTAAATGGAACAGGCAAATGCCCCTGCTGAGCACAAACTTGCATGCAGGAGGCACTCAACAAATGCAGCTGAGAATATTACGATGATTATTGCTAATACTGCTACTAGGTATGTGAGCCTTTTTTTATTCCTAACTCTTTGTTTCTTGTTCTACTCTTTGCCTCAGTCCACCCTGCATGCTGGCCTTACATACCTGCCCTGTACACTGAAAGGTTTCCCAAAGTCTATGATCAGCCCCCGTCTTTCTTAAACAAAACTACAGAGTTGTTTGGGAGTCTCTGAGACTCTTCTGGGCTGGCTCTCCCCTTCCCAGAGACCCTGCCCTCTGCCCTTGTCTTGGTTTCTCCATCATTTCCTCTTTCTCTGGGCCAGACCTGGATAAACTTGTGGCTTCCTTCCTTCGCGCTCTCTGGAGAGCTGAGTACTGCACACTTGAAAGCCTAAAAACTTGTCATTTCCACCTTGAACTCGTGGCTGACCTCCCAGACAGCCTGGGAAATGAATTAGTGTCCTTAAGCAGAGACAGAATGTGAGCAGTGACCCAGCTCTCCTAGGCAACTACAGAAACTGTCAAGCGGTAGTTCAAGTTCCCTTTTACCCAACCCCTTTAATTATGTTGAAAACTATGTCATATTGTTTTTGAAAAAGTTAATGAAATAGTAGGTAAAGGTGAACCTAGGAACATAATTTACTTGGATTTCCTTGCAAGCATTTGATAAGGTCCCTCATAAAAGGCTATTAAGGAAAATAGATGACCAGAGGGCTTCAGGCAAAAGTCTTTTTGGTGTATTAAAAACTGGTTAAGCTATTTTAGAAGGGAGAAGGCCTAGTGCTGGCTACTCCTTGGAGGGCAGAGAGGTTAATCACAAGCTGTCCCCAGTGTTAGTATTTGAATTTGAAGTGTTTGAATGATTTTTTAAAGGAAAAGAAAGCAAAGTTGGTCAAAGATACAAAATGAATATCATGGTACAAGCCTTCCAGAATGAATGAAGGCTCCTTGTCCATCAGCCAGGAACCCCTGGTGGGAGAAGTGGACCTACCCAGAGGAGGAACCCTCCAAGGATGGGAAGTAATCCCTGGAAACCTTTTAGGAAAAGAGAAAAACACTCTTCATTTGGAGGCCCAGGGCAACCAGGCCTGAGACTGGAGGGCAGGACGCAACAACCTTGCAAGAGTCCTTCCCACCCTCCCAGCAGATGGTGGTTAGTTTGAGGCCATGAAAAATTAGAAATGAGTGGCATGGGTGGAAAGCATTTAAGCATGCTTTTCTTTCCAAAATGGTAAAAGAATAATTCCATTGGTAAAGGAGAGCCCAAGGAATGTAACAGGGAGGGAGGCATTAAATACATGTTCTGAATAATTCTTGTATTTGACCTGATACAACAGAAAGTAAACAGGAGATACTCAGGACCTGTTTACTGCCTACCTCAGGAGCAAAAGAGCCTCTTTTTTTACACAAGAAGATAGATGTGCCTTTGAAGGGCTAACAATACACTCGCTGTGGCAGCTATTCTCACTGCCGCCACTCTCGCACCTCCAAATACTGTCACTGAGAAATGACACAAAGGAATTACACAAATATCTGGATGCTGATGAGGCAAACCCCAGGTCTTCTCCCAGCATGGCCTTCATTAACCCTTATGACACTTCTTATTCAGTCTGGCCTGCATTTCTCTAAGAACAAAAAGTCCTAAACAGAAAGTTGCACTGCAATCAGTGGAAAAGTTAATTCTAATATAGTTTTGCCAAAACGTCTTTACTTTTTCCTAGTGTAATAACTCCAGAACATACATAGGGTGCTATTTGCATAGTAGGAATACATTTATTTTCAGAGAGACACAGGGACAGAGAGCGTGTGAGATAATAAATGGGACATAAAATACACCTTGCAAAGAGTTCACCAGTTACAGACTCACACAGATATGGTCAATTCCCTTTGGCAAAGGTGTGAAGGCGATCATAGGGAAGGAACAGTCAAATAAATGATACTGGCACAATTGGATGTCTATGTGCAAAAAAGGAAGCAAAAGGCTCTTGATCCACACTATATGCACAGGTTAACTCAAAATGGATCATAGACCTGAATGTAAATGTAACCACAAAATTTGTAGAAGAAAATATAGGACAAAACTCTTTGCAACACTGGGTTAGGCACAAGTCCTTAGATAAATCAGGCAAAGCGCTATCCATAAAAGAAAAAATGGATAAATGGAATTTGATAAAAATTCCCAATCCCAGGACCTGAGTCATAAGCAGGAACCGAAACAAAAAGCAAACCTTTCAACTCACCCACCAGACTTAGCTACAGAAAACCTTTCCTCAGGCACAGAAGAGGAGCGAGCGACTAAGTTGAAAAATGGCAGCTGCTTGGCTAACTTTTTTCCAAAATGGGTCAGGTAGAAATTAATGGCTCTACCCTCTGCTTTTCCAGTAATTTGTGTGCTTTTATACTACTTAACACACTCTACTGTCATTAACAGTCATTGACATCCCATGTCATATGCAAAGGCCCCCACCCAGTAGTGAGCTCCTCAGGGGCAAGGCCCCATGTTACTCTCTCTGAGCATCCCCGGAGCCTAGCAGAGGGCCGGATACAGAATGTGTGCTCAGTAAATGAAGAATAAAAGAAAGAATGGGGAAGAAAGCAAGAAGGTAGGAGAAAGACATGGGGAGGGGAGAGAGAAGGAAGGAAGGGAGGGAGGAAGCAACGCCTAGGATGGAGAAAATGAGGACAGGCAGGGTGTGTTGAGAGACAGGGCAGTGTCTGGTGAGGGAAGGGGGGCAGCTCTGGGCCTGCCTGATCAGCTGGGGCTCTGTTATCCAAATCAGCATGTGGGTACAAGGCCAGGGCACTCTCTCCGAAATCACTGCCACCCTCTGTCCTCATGCCGCAGCGCTGGAGATGTCAGAGCCACTGTGTGCAGCCCAGGGCCCAACCAGCAGCTGAGCTGGAAGAGCGAGGCTGTGCTGGCTGTGCTCCCCCTGCTCCCCGGCTGCAGGCCTGGGAGTCGGAGCCACAGGAGCCAGGTCAGGGTGGCGAGGAGCCGCTGGCACGGCAGCGCTCTCACATTCTCCCTTTTCCAATGGCCCGGCCGGCATTGCTGGGGAAACGGGAGGGGCCCGGCAGCCAGCAGCCGAGAGTGAGAACTTCCCGTTGCCAGAGCCAGCTGCTGGCTGCCATCTGGGCAGGGGCAGTGCCAGTTTCCCAAATCTGCCTTCCCTTTGGAAAAGGGGGAGAAAACTGTGCTGAGAAGATAGCTTCTCCTTCTATCCTGAGGCTCTCTGTTAAAAACCCAACAAAACCAGCCTTTGAAAAAGGAAGGGATGAGAAATACCACACACTGGGCAGTTTCCAAAGGAATTTGCTTCTCCTGGGGCTTTAACATCTAAGAAAAGTCTCTATTTGCCCTCAATATCCCTTGGTTCTTTTGCTTTACTTAGTAATAGCCTTTACTTTTAAAAATTAAATCTGATTGCTTGCACAAACAAAATGTTGGTATCTCTGCGTCCTTTTTATTTGTCACGTAGGGATGGGATCATCTGCCACAAATGGGAAATTCTCTGAGAGGTGTAATTTTTAATTCACTCTCTACCATGAATAACCCAGCACCTCAACTAAACTGGGACTCAATGGATGCTTTCTGATGGGTTCATTCACTCACTGAATGCATATTAAGCACCTTCTAAACACCAGCACAGGATTACCATTGATGAAGAATTGTGGAAGATCTGGCTCTCACTCTGAGTTCAGCCAGCTGAAAGCAAGCCTGTCCTCGGTGCCTCCCGAACTGAGCCGCCGTGGGTGAGTGCTGTGTGGAGCCAAGCCCGGGACCCGCATGCTCTGTGCTGTGCTACCACTATGTTCTCAGGAGGCAGATGTAAAAAGAGTTGGTACCCCACAGAGCCCAGAATCAAGGAGAGATCTCTGCAAAGCAAAAAGTAGGCAAGCTTTATTCAGGGGTGAGGGTCCATATATTCCACGAACTGCTCACCATGGGCACTGGCCAATCAGAACAGATCCTGGGTTTATTTTTTAATACTGTCTTAGCTCTCAAATCTTTGTCCATCCTGACACATTTCCTCGTAGTGAACATCCCACTGTAGCAAGTGGACGGGCGCAGGGACAGAGTGTCCAGTGCTTTGTGAGGACCTCATCATCACAGACATCCTCACGGTGGGGCTTCTATTGGGTTTCCCAACTTTGCTGGCTGCCCGGTTCTGCAGCAACTCTAACCATGCCTATTACTCATGTAATAGTTGGAAGAGGCAGGCTGAAGGCCAGGGAAGGTCTCAAGAGTGAGGTTCACTC